AGGGTAATTGTAAACTCTCGAGGTCTCTTGAAATGGTAAACATACTCATATTTAATAATTAGTAACTGATCGTTTTTATTTTATTTTTAGGCAAAGACATTATATGTACAGTCACTTAAATGTGACTTATGTTTTATTTTTACTCGTATAGGTTTTTATCTTTCCAATGATGCGAAATAATTTTATTCACATGATTTTATAGTTTAAGAATCTATTGCTATTCAGTGTAATTTTACGGGTTTAAGGAAGAGAACATTCTAAGGATTTTTACTGTAAAGCAATAATACCAGAAACACTTTAAGTATTTTAGAACAAGATTAGCAATAGTTTCTTATTTTAGCAATTTTAAATTGTAATATGCATATGAATATGGAATGAAAAGAGAGGTAACTCTGTAAGTGACATTGGACATTCTTGCAGAGTTGCCTCCCTTCCATTAGATTAAAATTTTATAGTCTCTTGTAATTCTGATAAGAATGGCCGTACATAAATAACTTTTACTTTGTAAAATTATATCATTGAATTGTTTTATGTTGTTATGTATGGATGAGACTCAAATAAAGAATATATATATATGATAATATAATTGATCTTATTGGACGGGTTTTACAACAAAGGGGTAAAGAATACGAACAAAGGTGTATTGTTAGTTAAATTATTTATATTAAACTTGTATTTCAATAATGACAAAAGGAGATTATTTAGGAATGTTGATAAAAAAGTTAAGATAATGGTTGCTTTTGAAGGAAATAAAATCGAATTTTTGTACCGGTAATTTTTTATAAAACACCGTGATTATCATGTCAAATTTTAATAAAATAAAAGCTGAAGGATTTGTTGCTGAGTAGGGTCCTCCTGTAATATATGTAATAGTCAATTAGAAACTCGGCATAATTCTTTCTTAATTTCTTTCTCAGATACGACAACACGTCATTAGCAGCATGAGCATAAGCTTCGTCAAAAGTGTTTTGATCCGTGTAATTGTTTAGTCTTTCTTTAAATTGTTCTATACGAGACTGGCTCAAAGGCTTAAGAAGTTTTCTATTCCAGACGTCGCGGCATCTGTGTTCTTCCTCGAGCTCTTCTTTGAGACGCTTACCAGGGGCCCCCCGGGATAAAGATTTTCTCGTAACGCTCATATTGTTATTCGCTAATTCCTCTTCATCATTATTATGATGTTCATCATCATCATTATCATCATCATTATCATCATCATCACCATCATCAGCATCATCATCATCATCATCATCATTAGACTCAACATCACCAGTTTAAGACAAGTACCCTTTACCATGTTATTGATTTTCCAGCATTGTATCCATATTTATTTGTTTTCTTAGCATATTTTCTTGAATGTTCACCTCAAAAATGTCACTACGTAAACGATCATTTTCCAAAGTGGTCGATTTCTGGTTTACCACCAAATAGCCATATGATCTAGTTGTCGCTTGTTCAAATCGTTTTATGAAAACGGCACTGGATTTTAGGGAAATTCTTTTCGCCAATATTGACACCTGCTGTCTGACTATAGGATTATTGAATAATACCAAATACTGCGTATTCAAAGCTATATCCCTACAGGCCTGTTCTTAAGGAAATAAATTCTGGGTGAGGTAGATAATGGATATGCTCATGTGATAACAACCTTTTGTAAAAAGATCGGCGAATCTTTGGTCACATTTTACTTCAGTCATCAAATCATCAAACACAATAAGATTTCTGTTACCAACGTCGATGTACTCAAGGTAATCTGGATTACCTTGAACAAATTCTATCCAGGGAATTGTACGCTGAAGTTCATCGTACAGAGTTTGCCATTGTCCGAAAGGCCTAACGAATATTTTGATTCACTTGGAAAAGGCCCCGAAAGTTATGACGTTAGCTTTGAGAAGATACTTAAGAAGGAAATCTCTTGTATAATGGACGACTTCAGAGTTTTTCATCAGAAGTGTGTGGGCTCTACTGCGCATACTACGTCATAAAACCATATCAGGGACAAATTATGAAAACCATCATCCAAGAATTTAATCCATGTCAGAAGAGGCACAATGATCGCTTAACCCATTACTTTATTAGCGTTTTGTGAAAAATGGCTGTTTTCATTGAAAAGTCTCCCGTTACAAGTTCAAATTGCTATAAAACTATAAAAAAACTGCTTTAATACTAATCAAACTTGGCACAAGTGTTGAATAGACCATTGCCTTTGCAACAAGATGCACATGCTTAAATTTCCTGTTACCATGGCAACGAGGGGACATCTCAAAATTTCCAAAAATCACTATTTTGCATTGATTTTTTCCATCAAAATTGATTTCAAAGTGCTGCAACTTCTCAATGGATTTAGATAGAGTCAAATACTTTTCAGCTTTGGTTACACGTTACCTTATGATCGATCTGGGGTCATTTGAGCCTGTTACAAGTCCAAAATTTTCTTGGCGATGACAAACCCCCCAAATAGAAGTGGTCACTTTTCTAAAAAACATTTCTCAAACAAAAACAAGTGTTGGGGGCCTAAATAAGGCATTTTTTCACCATTTGAGACACCAAAAAAGGGGGGAAGAAAAAGGCGTTTAAAGGCGTATATTTCGCGTAATGGGTTAATAGTGACTAAAATGACAAAAATAATCAATAAACAATAATCATGACTAGATTGACGAAACCAGTGTATCATCAGTCATAATGATAATAAAACATTGTGACAGTATCGTATAAAATATGAATTAACATGATTTTGCTTCGTTAATAAAATTAAAAATTAACTTTTTTTGCTTTTATTTATTGTATTTATTCCGTTTTATTTTTACTCTGTAAAAAACAACATCTAAATATATTTGAAATGATCAAAACTACATATTTTTCCGATTGGAATATCTATGATGAATAAGTTTATATTATTTAATATTTAAAATATTATATATTCATGTATTTATTAAAGTATCATCAATATACAAATATCTTTCAAATATTTCTTAAAATGTTGCAGTTATAAAACTATTTTTTCTCTCATAAAGCAATTCAATGCAATTATCAATAGTTTAAATCGACTTAATCCTCAAAACTCTGGCTTAGTTTACAATACCCATTCAAGAATATTAGATCCCTTTTGTTATAATGCGAATTTAATACAATAATATGGCTTAAATTACAATTAGCGTACCCCCCTTCATCAATCTTTACTGTCATTCTCTGCACACTCCCCAATGATATAATAGGATTCAAATCAATTTCAAGTAGTTTGATATTAAACGCAATTATTATCAATAGTTTAAACCGACTAATTCCTCAAATTACAATACCCCATTCAAATAAATTAAATCCCGTTTATTGTAATGCACATTAAGTACACTAATCTGACTTAAAGATCTTGTAACACATTTTGTTTATGTTTTATAAATAAAAATATGATGCTCAAATTAAGATTTATCAATATTGTTATTTCCAAAAAGCATTATTTATAAACATATTACCGAATTTAATATTTCATATAAATAAAGGGAGGTAATTAGAAATTTGTTTTCTATTTATTCTAAGTCAAATTTTCCAATAAGAAATGAATGCATATAATTCAATGATTACATTTAATCTGTACAAATATTTGCAGTACATATTTTACATATATTAATACATCAATATCTAGGAAAGTTATTTGTTCAAATATATTTACTTTAATATAAAAAATACCGAAATATAGGTTGTTATCATATAAATAAAAAATATATATCAAATTATTTAAGATATAAATTCTTTTAGGCGATGTAAATCGTTATTTATTTCGTATTTGGGTAAATATCAGTATTATAATTTTTACCGCATTGTAATCTATTCAAAAGTGATGTTCTGTCAAACAAACAGTATTTAATATTTATAATGTGACCAAAATCATAATTCATTCTTCAAATAAGACATATTTGAAACGTTTATATAATTGCTAAAATATCATCGAAACGTATAGTAGTTCAGTAGTACTTATAATTTATATCTTTATCAATCTTTTCAACAGGGATATCACTATCCTGAATAATAAAAAACATTGAATATCAAATCGACCAAACTTTATTCCAAATTTATTCTTCCAATTAATATAACGCTTTTATTTTATTCAATTTTGACATAATGATTACGGTGTTTTATAAAAATTTACCGGTACGAAAATTCTATTTTATTTTCTCCAAAAGCAATCATTATCTTAACTACTTTTTATCAACATTCATAAATAATCCCCCTTTGTCATTATTAAAATACAAGTTTAATATAGATAATCTAACTAACAATACACCTTTGTTCGTATTCTTATCCCCTTTGTTATAAAACCCGTCCAATAAGATCAATTATATAATACACACTACTTGATTTTGTATCTTACCAACAATGCATTGCGTAATCCCATTCAAACTATTATCCAAGATAATCTCACGCATGCGCAGTAAGTGACACCAAACCGACCTCAATGCTGCTAGCATCAAAATAAATATTCACGCATGGTTGCCAAACATTGACGCAGGTATGAAAATACTATTTTTGTTCATTTTTTTACTTATTAACCATGATTGCGGGGAGTTGGTGAAGTATGTGTTAAAAGGTGCTAAAATATTTTTTAATTCTTACATAGATCTAGTGAAATAGTCTAAATGGAAAAATGTGTAAAGGCTGATAAAGAAATGTAACCGGAGTAAGATTGAAAATCGGTTGTGTTTTTTTTTTTTTTTGGGGGGGGGGGGGTTGTCTTTTTTGTAATTTACAGCCCAACTGACCCATGTTTTGGGATAATGTTGCACATTTAAAATTGATCAATCGGGTAAAAAAGGTTGTGGGAATAATCTGAAAATTTGCACACTAGTTATTGATATAGACCCTCATCAAATTGTACTTAAATCTCTGTCAAATATTTCCAGTCCAGTCAATCAGCCTTTCAAATGGCAGTCTTGATTATTGTATCTTAAAACTGCATAAAGAAACAGTATTAAAAATGAGTAACAATAAAAACATTTCAATGATTTTACCTAGAAGAAAATGCAATGGAAATTCTTCAAATTGTTTAAGTACGCGGCCTGAAAAGAATTCACTTCCGAACAACTTTGGTTCCAAGAAGGTCCCATACTTTGGCATGCCTATCGCAAAGGGGCTAAACTCAATCCACTCTGCAAATTTACATTGATAAATTAATTAACATATCATCTGAACATATATGAGAAAATTTGTGATTTCTTTGCCTTTATGATCAAAAGTAAATATTTTTTTAATTTAAATTTACCTCATATGAACGATGAAGAACTCACACCACCTCAGGAAATTTCTGTAGATTTCCATTCGAATTTCGAAATTTACCTGTAGCATTTAATTTATATATAAAGAAATGCGACTTTTATATTTCAAGCAGATTACTTCTTTATCTTGAATATTTATCCAATATTAATTTTTGGTCAATCACCATTAAAATAGCCAAAAATATTTAGTAATACAGCACAACTTATCATTGACAGGTGAAACATTTGAAGCAAGTTTTTTATTGCGCATCATTTTTAAAAAATCGTAGAAATCTTCAAATGCCTTTTGTTTAACTTTAGTTACTGAATCTTGCTTTAACTTAAGTTGATTAATAACAATTTACCATGAAACACCTTTGCTGAAGTTTTCCTTTTCACATTAACAGCTGCATATAATGGCAAGGGAACTAATCCTTTTTTCACTTTAACTTGTTGATTTGTCAATGTTGAATTCATCTCCTAGTTAGTGTGTTCAAAGGATAAGATAACAAGAATAATAAATTTATAAAAAATTGCTGGAAATATACAATTAATTATAGACATTATTAAATCTAACAATTTTATTTGAATAACAGTAGATTCAACCACTAAAGCTAACACGTGCTTTTTGTTAACAAACGTGTTGTTACGGACTTCTTATTGTATCAACACCTCTGATATTTAGAATCAGGAATCAATGCATTAAAATGATTTCACTGATGTGCTTCGTAGACGTTGTAAAATAAGATGAATAAGTTAGTACACAAAGTTTTGATCAATGTTTAGCAAAGGTGATGTCATATATGACATGAAATATGTATCAGCTTGGTGGAATGTAAAAAATAAGCTATATCAAGATTTAAAATTGTAAAACAAATGGACAACACAGTACCACTCAAATATCATGATTTCAAACAAATTGCAGAAATTTTGTTTGCTCTAAATAATAACATGATAAACTACAAATACACATACGATCTATAAAAAAAGGATGACTCGCGATATCTTTTTAAAATATTTAAAACATCTTTCAACTTAACAACGATGTTTTCATCAGTACGCCATGTACATTTCGCAGTAAGAAGTACCCGTATTGTTTCTAAAACAAGAGTAGTTTACCTTCTTAAGGAGTCTGTTTCCTATGACACGTCCGTAAATATTCGTGAGGGAGTATGTCGGTTTTACGAAATAGTCGTAAATCGACCCGCACACGTTCGAACAATTAACAATCATACTAATCGTACTGGACTGCATGCGTTTTCGTAACTTTAAACGAAGGTCACGTGTAGACTTCTCTAGAGGCCAATCAGGATGGGAATACAGAGTTGAAAGGTACCTTTGTTTTAAAATAACTATTTTGTTATGAAAACAAATTTAATCTCCATGTACATTTGCATTCCCGTATATTTAAATCTATTTCTATGAATTTAACTAGTTTTTGAAGTGTACATGCAAAGTACCGATAACAAGTATGTAAAGGAAAAGAGTGGTACTACAGAAAGAATACACCGGGTGCACTTATGTGCATTGTTTCAGACACGAACGGGCACCTCCGATATTCTTCCACCAGCAAAGCTGGATAGACGCCATATGACCTATTATGTGTTGATGCGACGTAAAACACAACCACAAAAATAAGAAAAAAGCTTAAAATAAGCGCAATCCAGATTCTTAATGGACTCCTTAATACACTGCATTAACAAAATGCAGTTTCCGCCATTTTTTTAAAAATCATTATACAATGAAAGATAAAAGTTTTGGAGAACAAATATCTTACCAAGCCGAACCAGAGAGACCTACGTTATACATAACCATATCTGCTATTCTAGAGTCCGCCAGGGCGGACATGGCACCAGAAAATGCAGTCATAGCACGTAATCCACCACCAGATCCCATGACAGCTATTCTTGGAACCTGTCAGTGTAATCAATAAAACTTGAACTTCACTTAGATAACAGCATTTTAAGATCATAAAATATCAATACGACATTGGAAATAACATATATATCAATTAAAATCATTGTACAACCATAAAAATAAATTTAAAGTATATTCTAGGAGGTACGTTATACAAACAAAGTTTACAAAGTTTTGTTCACGATAAGCTTTTTCATATAAAAGTTGTGTAAAGATTTCTAAGCATCAAAGATAGAACATTTGAATGCATTTTCCGGTAGTCTCTCTACAGTAAATAATATGCTTTAAAATCTATGTACCAAATTTAAGACTATAACAACCATTGTTACGACATTTGAAATCACTTCATCTGTATCATTAATCATATTATATCTATTCTAGTAGTTTACTTTTACGAATGAGTGTTTACGATACGCATTTTGAATATAAAAGTTGCGTGGGCATAAAAATGTAACAATAGATAATGTGCATTATATTTAAGTACCCAAGTACTTTCAGCTGGGGCATGGTCTTTTAGTTCTTCCTTCATCACGCCCAAACAATATTTTAGCCTTTCGTTAATATAATCCTTTTCTTCATCACAAAGCCTATGTCCAAGCAACAATTGTGTTCCTAAATGGCTTAATAAAGCAACAACAACAAACTTGTAAATTAATTATTGAAGGACTGACAAGTACAAACTAGAATAAAGCGAACTTATCGGGGCATTTGACATTCAGCATGATATTTACCAGTGTAAGGGCTTATACATTTGAATTATAAACAAAACCGATTTCATTCGAAAATCTTTTCAATTAAAGACGTCCAATATTACTTTCTAAGGATTTAACTTAATTTTATATTTGTTAGGGGAAACAAAAATAATCCTTAACAAGAGCAACCGCCGGGTGGGGCAACGCTCGTCTTTTAACTTTTTCTAAAAGCAAACAAAAACACGGTTTAAACAAATCTTAGGGAATAGTTATGTTTTCATTTTTATAATCTTTATAGGTCGGTCTAGTAACACTAGTTGTATCAAAGTATGAAACCTTACCATAAATAAATGACAATGTTAAGAAAATTTAGTCAAAATTCAATCATTTAACGATGCATATATATGATTAATTAATGCAAAACAAGTGAAAATTCAATAATTTAACCTTCAAGGTCAAGGTCATAAAAGTGCCAAGGTCAATTTGATTTGCTAAGGCTTATCCTAAAGAATATGGTCTGTTGTAATATGAAATCAATCTATTCAATAATAACAAAAGTTACAGCCAGTTACAGCCAAACAAAGAAAAGAAAATAATTTGAAACTAATTTGACCTACAAAGTCCTCGGACATCTATAAATGAATTTCAAGGTCTGTCTGGTTAACTTAAAGGGATATCCTTAAAGAATATATGGTTTAAGTTAACGATCAATTCAAATTAACAAAGTTATAGCCAATTATAGCAAGAAACAAGCAAAATTTGTACATTTAACCTTGACGGTCGATGTCATTTATGGATGAAGGTCAAGGTTAGTCTTATCTACTGAAAGGTCTTGTCCCAAGGGCTGTTGTGGCCAAGTATAAAGACAATTCACCAAGGACTTAAAAAGTTATGATCAAGGTGTAAGTTACCGGATGGCAACGGACGGCAACGCCGACATGACTGTAACATTAATTCTACTTTTTTTTAAAAAATCGAGCTCAAAATGGAAGAACTCATTCATAAAAAAACTGTACGTACAATGCGGTATCTGAGTAATCCCTATAATTACATTACAAGTGAAAGAAATTGTCACAATATCAAAATATTTTTTCATTTTTTTAAAAATATTATTAAAAATGAGGGGGGAACTAGGCAGATTCAAACAATTTATTATGTCCTTGGAGCATTTATTTGTAAAGAATAGTAAAAAAAACTGTTCTCTTTATGAATTTACTTATATAAAAATTCAAATAAAAATCAAATAATTTTGAAGAACTTGAAGTAGTTTGTTGTCTTACATTAAACTTTATCTTAAGATTTTAAACCAATTGCATCACATGTTGTGCTAATAAAAGAGTCAATAAAGAATATTGACGTAAATGGTAAACACAGCTCGTGTAATGAATTTGAGATAAGTTGATCACTCATGTCTATTTAATGGTTCAACATGTGATATGTCAGAATAATCATACTGTTTCACTGTAGATAATTTTTTAACAACGAGTTAATGTTTTCCTACAGCGATATACTGAAATGTATCATATTTCAATGAACAAGCTATATTTAACTTAGTTGCTGTACGTATAAAATTTATCTACATGTAAATGTAAAGTATCAAATATGCGAGTTTTGGGAGAGATTTGGAAGCACACTTACAGTGTGTAGCGTTTATTTATTTTTGTTGAGAGTAATACGTTGTTTTGAAGGGAGTTTTGTTGATTTGTTGAAGTTGGTTTGATTTAATTGGTGGTGATCTTAATTGATCAGTGTTCATTGGTTTAAATTAGTTGTTTTTGTCTGTTGAATTTTATTTGGTTGTTGAGTTATATCTATTTGGTAAGATATACTTGGTTGATATTGAGAGATTGTGTCTTGTCAATGTTATATTAGTTGATGCTTTGTTTTTGAGGATATTTGTAAATATTGGGTGCTTTAGTTTGCTTTACTGATGCTGATTAGATTTTGTGAAGTTAATATTGTTGGTTAAATGTTTGTGGTTTATGTTCTAAAAATATTCATTTTTGTGTTCTTCATTTTGTGGTGATTTCATTGTTTTGTTTGATCATAAGTTGTTTATAGCTTGGGCTCGCCATGTGTCTAGTATTGTTTCGTATAAAATACGTATACGTGAAGAGATATTTCGTATAAGTGGTTGATAAATGATGTGTGTTGGTTTTGGGTGTAAATTATGATCAGAGTTCTTTGTTTTGGGTGTGAATAATAATCAGAGTTTGTTGTTTAATGTATATATTAATTTGAGATAGAAAAGATAAAAATACCTAAAAAATAGTGTTAACTAAACAATTACATGCTAGTTCTCCAACTGAGAATATTTCAATAATCTTAAGTCAGGCGGTGCTGCTCAGCCCCAATATTTCCCAATCATTTTTTAGAAAAAAATAACATCAAGGCAGTCATTCCATTCTCCTGGCAGGATAGCAGAAATGTTTTAGTAATCTGACTGAAGAAAATGATACTGTTTACACAATAACGCACATTTTAATTGGAGAGATCCCTTCACTTTGAGAATGATTGCTGGTGGTATCCATTTTTTCAAGTATCAATTTGAAATTAATGAATCTCATTTAAAGCATTGTATTATAACCAGTCTACAAAAAATTATATGCTGTATGAGTTGATCATAATATTGTTTTCTGAAAAGGGTATTATTACTTTTTCATGTTTTGAAAAATAGTAACAGTAAAATTTTTAGCTACAACATCACCTAGCACTACTATTATATGACCGAGTGAACCGTCTAAAAATGTTGCTGCTCATTTAACTTGTGAACACCTCGCCAATAATTCCTTATAGCAGCTTACACGGAGACTGATGGGACTAGTCGATTTGTTTCTATTGTTCCCAGATGCTATTCGACCAATCAGAAATTCTTACTTTCACGCTATATAAACAATTACTCAAATCTTTCACATCTGCAAAAATTACTTTTGTATGGCGAGACATTAATTCTGTGGAGATTTAGTGCAAGATATGGTACTTTATAATTATACTCACGGTAACAGAATATGAAAAAATGTGATTTTTCCTTCACAGATTTTAGCACATTGAAAAAGTAAGATAGTTTGAATAAGAATAACTTACTCGGGTCCCGCCGTCATTTGTACTTGAATTGTGGCACCCTGCAATAGTATAAATGTGACTGACTATATCATGAAATGTGTTTTGTTTAATATGAAAGAAAAAAAATCGATCATTTTAAAAATATTAATTGATATGTTTGTGATATCTGCAGTAAAAAGACATTTTGAATGAGAACTTAATTATATGAGTTATAAACTGATTGCCACAAGAATTCAATATCATATCTCCTAGGCAATTCTGATATAATCACTAGTATTTAATCTTTACCTCTTCAATGTATAAACTGTAATACCGAATGTCTCAAATAAGTAAACAGACATTGATTTTGACTGAGTTCCTGTAGAATTATTACAGCATGGTTTTAGTTCAGAATATAGAGGTTTTATACGTTAGATTAAGCGACGAATAACAAATAATTGGTTCCAAAGTTGTTTTGCATAGAACGCAAGAATATTGCATATATTTCCATTCTTGCAAAGTGTCTTGACGATATAATTATGTTGATTAACGACAAAATATCTCAAACTTGGAAACATTGATTTCAGCAAATAAGTGTCGAAGTTTGAATACAAATCTTCAAATTTATTATAAAATCGTTGTTTTAATTGTCTCGAGTGATCTCCCCTTTTCCAGATATATTGTTCTCTGTCTAGAGACCTGCTTACAGTTTCATTTGAGGTTTTACATTACTGTTATTTAAGTTGTACAGATTAAAGACCAACGTTTTCGGAATAAAATTCAAAATAAGTTTTTGTTCATGTTCAAAATGAGTATCTGAAGCCCCTGAATAAGTGTTACCTTGTGGATGTCTATGATTTTGTCCATATTCCTTTCGAGCAATTCCTTTAAACTTAGCTTGATTTTAGTTGAGGCGATAACACTGCCCTTTTTTACACTGCCTTTCATCAAATATATTTCTGTAAGTAATAAGCTTGCAGTTTTTATATTTTTCGCTTCTAATCTCTATTCTAATGAAATCAACAAGAACATTTTCAAATCAATAATATAGACTTTTTTCTCAGGTTTTGTAACTTTTAAGACAGAAAGATTTGAAATACTACCAGGTTTCCATATGAATGATACATTTTTGTTATCATGCAAACTTTGTTGTCGCTTTTTTCTGAAAATATTCTTTATTTTTAAACGTACCCATTTCGTTTTCTTCATAATCTTTTAAGTGAAACTCGAACGATTTCCTTTTGGATGTTTTGGCTTCACGTACAGCATCTTGTGCTCCCTCAACAACAATTTTAATACACATCTTCTCGCCGAATTCTTAAATATAAGGGTATTCAAATCTATACATAATTTTATGTTCCTGTCTACATAATAGCAATAATCGGGAATTGTTAGATCTTGGTAAATAAATATACTTTAATATATATATAAACAACTGTTGATAACCGCTTAAATGGATTGTCAAGTTTTTATCAGTGAAAAGAGTGTGCAATTCGCTTTTGCTATAGGAAAGATAATATGATTTATCATTAAACATATTATCATTTCGTTATAAATATATAAACATTTTTAATCAAGTATACTAAAACCACTCTGTGTGTTTAATCTCGTATATACCATTCTATAAAACCGCGTATCTTCTTCGAAAGTATATGAGCAGACTGGCATAGAAACAAGTAATTACTGACGTGTAATTTTTTGTTTAATAAGTTCGTTTAACAAGAGTTCACATGTTCGAGTTAGACATTTAAAGAATCAGAACAGAATAGAAGTTTCATAATGACTTGTAAAAAGACAACATGATTTTGTTTACATGCATAATTTCAGCTGCAATGCAAGAAACAAACAAAACTATTTCAAACACTTTTTCAGGAGAGAGTTTCATATTAGCTTTATCTAAGAAAAAGACGCTTCCAATCTCACAATTAAGACGTTAATTTATGATGTTATGCGACGTCACCATGGGGGAGGTCCACAAAAAGATACGACAAGAAAAGACATACAGGTAAGTTTCATGATCATCCATTCATTGGCTTTTGAGAAGAACATGCTTAAGGACATCTGAAGTGACAACCGAATATATTTAAGCGATTATGACAGAAAATCAACTTAGGTTGGTACACATAAACTTTTAATTGTTTTTTTTTTTTACAAAAAATTGCAAGCAAAAATAAAACACGGTTACTTACGGACGTAACAAAATAAGTTTGGTGAGATCACAAGGAGATTATATTTGAACTTCAAATAAAGACATTACTTTTAAACTGAATAAAACTTAAAATTATAAATTAAAACTTACTATTTTAGAACACTTGAAAGAGGCCTACCTAAGGATGATCCTGACAAAGTGTTTTGTGATATCCATTCATTGCTTTATGAGAAAAAGATGCTAAAATATTGTTGGTGGGTCTCAACATTATAAGAAGGCTACATAACAAATTTAAAGTAAATATGAATATGATGAGTTTATTCCTAGGAGAAGACAATTATTTAATTAATATGACGATTGCTGGACAACGTACACCTAAGTTACCCCACTCCAAAACCAAAACCTCATAATGTTTGTTTATCCTGAACTCCCGCTCATTGTGAGCGTGCACACATTATGTTCCCAGATAAAAAAGGATAATGAGTACAAATCAATAAATTCAAGATTGAAAAGGGAATGCTTCCATTCCGTAAAAGGACATAAACAGTCAAATAACATTCGATACCTCTGTGAAACGATCACGCTAATGAATCTGTGCTCAGTAGGACATATTGAAGGTTAGAAAAATAAATATATTATATCGCTTGTTTCTCCGTTGTTTTTCTTTTTTTTCTTTGCCTATATACGGGGATAGATTTCCTATTAAATTGTGCATCATTTGTAATCATTATATTATAATATTTCTTATTCATGATGATTATCCTGTCATAAGCATATATAACAAATAATATAATTATGACCTATCGCCTTTAATTTGTCTTAATATTATCAGTTGGAAACATTAAAGCGTCAAACGCAAATTCAATGAATCTAACAACGTGTAGAAATGGTTAGAAAAATTGAAATGTATTTCAAAAAAACTATATTATGCTTTAAATTAACCAACTGATAACATTAAAAACGAATTAGGGATGTCAGTTTAGATTTAGTATTTATTTAAAATAAAATCTTCGAAATCAATGTCATTTGTGTAAATCTTATAGAGTCAATTAACAATATATATTTTTAAGAATTGGCTTAGATTTAAGAATTTACCTATTTCTCTTTATTGAATAACTTTGACCCTTACTTGTTTCCGACCAATTGTTCGAAAAGTTGCAGCCAATTTCTAGTTTTAAAGTATACCAATCTCCTTCCTTTACCTACAAATAAACATATTGTTACAAAGTCACCATTTCAACAACTTTATCCATGGCAAAAGCACTTTTCCAAACAAATAAAAATGTTACACCAATGTTTTGTACAAGTGAAATGTTGAAATAGTCAATTCTTATGTAATTTGTACTATATCATATCAATTGAATTGAGATATGATTAAAATTTTAATTTCTGTTGCAGCAGTTTTCAATCGGCTTCCCCCAAGCTTGTATTTGGAATTTCACTCAACGATGCTACATACTGCATTGCATTGCAATTTTTAAGTCTTTATGACACAGTTTTCATATAGATTTAAAAGGGATTCCAATAAAGTTTTTCCTATGAAAGGACCGAAAATATTTTTAAAGGTTTTTGTAACACAAATAAGGCGAATAACACGAATGTGAAATTTCAGATCATTCGATCGAATAATCAATTTCATAACAGTAAAAACAATAAAATGTGACTTTTTTGCTTAACCACAAAAACTGTTGTTTTCTTTCATATCATGTAAAGTGAGATGAGATTACTTCTAATTAGATTACATTTCTCATGTTTCAAACTTACTTCAAAAACTCCAGGTGGATCACCCCTGTAATATAGAAAAATTTATTTGTAGATTCATCATTAAGCCTGCTAGATGCAACTGATTCCATCCGTGCGAGAAGTGCAGTCTATCATCAGCCGGCTTGTCCATACCTACTGATCATGGACTGCACCGATCGCTATTAAATATTTATGATATTCCCTCAATATGATGAGATGTTTTGTCAATATTGAACGATGAACAAGACAATTAAAGATTTTTTTCGCTATGATTAAGAAGGAAAGACAAAAGGATAATATTATATCGTGAATGGTTAAGTGTTAGCAATTACTGCAAGAAATGTTATTATACACATGATATTTATTATAATCATTATCACAGTTCCTCAATTTCTTAAAAGTATGATACATATATATATATATATATATATATATATATATATATATATATATATATATATATATATATATATGTATATATAATGTAATATAATTTAATATAAGTCGTATATATAATTTTATTGAAATACCTCATATGTTTCAATAAACTTTTCCACATGCACGACAAAAAGAAATGACGATCACTCTTTTTTAAAAAGAAACGTTTATACTTACTTTGTCGGACTGCAGGTTTTCTGTTTATTCATATTATCTGTAATGATGATGATTTTAACATACGTAATATGTTTATATACCACGTAATACTTTTATATACAAAATACAATTAAAACACATTAAAACATCTGTATAATTCAACTAGTGCAATTTGTAAAGTAAATTTTTGTCTGATGAAAATTCAGAGACTACCAATAATACAGAGTATGTCGAGATTTTCCCAGTCTAAAAATAGATTGAGACTCATATTCAATGACCATACACCGTAGACTGTTAATTACGCGTGCGCATTAAAAAATAATTGTTGCGTATTGTTCGTTATGGCATATTTCTCGATTAGAATATCATTTTTTTACTATTATTATAGTTAAAAGTTACACCCCAATGATAAGTTTAAACTTGAATAACTTTTGTATGCGCAGCGATCGCGTAGTCGATGCAGGCCTGACACGTGCGTCTTTTTCTTCCCGCGTCAACGAAACGGACAAAAGTTGAATAAGGTTGTATTTTTGTGATTTCTTTTTAAAAGTCTTTACCTTTTTTATATAATAAAACAATTATTGACTAGGCTGCCATTGAATATGATATAATATTCACCGGCAGAAAGTCATATTGACCTCGGCTATCGAATCGGTCAATATGTCATCTGCCGGTGAATGTCATATGATATTCAATGGCACACTTGTCAATAATTTTATAATATTTCACCACTTATACATTATGAAATGACAACCATATATAATCATGCATCTTAACAAATATTTAGTCTGAAGTAACCGAAAAGGACGTTCTGAAGATATTGTTTTTAGTTTTAAAAATGTCAAACAAATTTCAATTCTTATCTTTTATACATGTCTATTTCTTGGTCTTGATTCAAAATATTATATGGCCAAAATATTTTTTTAAAAAGGCTCAAACGAACTGTCTATAACAGTGAAAATTTACACAAATTGTTTAACATTGGTCCCAGAAAGCAAATTCATTTATGTTTCATGCAAAATAAAGTTTTTCATAAACCGGATTTTTACTTTGCTAAACTGCTTGCATTATAGCTCGAAAATTTCCAAATGTCAGTGCGATTTCCAAAAATAGTTTTCATGGCCAGACCGAGTTACACGATCAGCCTTGAGAACGCATGAGTCATAGATAATTTACGTGTCTGGTTTTCAACATATGTCAAGGAATTTCAATTTTGTGCAACAACTCTGTACAATTAAGTGGGACATAATTTATTTGTTTGTTGCACCAGTATAACTGAGGTTGCAATGGAAATAGTAAGCAGCATATTTAAAATAAAGCTGCATACCTCAAATGAGAAAAAATATTTTAAGACAAACAAACTTCATTTTTGAAAATAATGTTGTTAGAAATAAAGAAAGGGTAATTTTCAAGGATTCCGTTTACAATGTTTAAATTGTTTTCTTTGTTCACACCACAATATTGTACTTTTATACAATATTGTACTTTAAAAAACATTTTCGAATTGTCATGAAAATAAGCATAAATCTCGAAGTATTCTTCTTTAAGCATTTCATTTTTTATGGTTTTCATTTTTTATTTCTTTAATTATTTATTTTTTTATTTTGAAAATGTAAAGAGAACTGAGCGAGTCATTCCGTATTTCATATAAACATGTGTGTATTTATAATATATTAACTAATGCTCGATTAAATTAGTAAAACAATCTTGCAATCAAGTGGGTCCAAAATCCCTCGTTTAGAGGTAGACATATTTAACAGAAGACCATCGTTGCCTTATACAAGAATATATATATATATATTAGAAACATTATGGATCTTAATGTTTATAGAAATAAATGTTACCTCCGATAAATTCCTCCTGTGTGTCTTTTTGAGTTCCATCAGGGTTGTCAGCTAACTTCTTAGTGTCCTCACCGTTTTCAGTTTGCTCCATCATTACTGGTCAGAAAAACAGAAAAAAAATTAAATAGTTATAGAAAACTTCTTCTCATTAGTAAGTCAATCTTTTGTCTTTTTCCTTATTCCGGCCACTGTTATCTTGTTAACTGAGAACAAACATCTTTACTTACTTATTTACTAAAACGCTGTTATGCACGGAATGCAATGAAGTTTAAATAACCAGAACCGTACGAACACTTTTGTGTGTACTATCTGCAGTCTGCAGAACATTTACTACTCCCGTTCATAATCAGGCCGAGTTAAATAGAACCTGCATAAATTATGAATATGACTTATCGGTCGATCTGTAAGATGTATAGTATTAACTATTTTATTCATAATAACGCTCTTATTCTTGTTGCATATGTATATGTAAGATATAACAAACTATAAAAAACGCATCGCATCTGTGACCTCTTCAACTGATATGATTCTTCGCTGAATAAGTTTGGAAGTCTCACAACATTAAATAGTGTTTTTTTAA